TTCAGAGTCGATAACCCCTGAAAACTTTGTCTTTCAAACAGAGCCCGTTAATATTAATGAAGAAAATGAGGGAATTGACCAGAACACCCAAATTAGGAATCAAGGAATTATAGCTTTGAGTTACCGTGACTGGGAGGTAAAACCTTGCCCCTTGCCCGAGGGTAGTTTTGTCTGCCGTGTCATTTGCTGGAAACCCAGTGCCCAACATGTTCTCTGTTCTCTGCCAGGAGATTGTGAAGACCTTTGAGATCTCAGAGCCTGTGATTGCCTCAGGCCAGAGCCAGCAGAGGCTAAGCGCTTGACGCCAGCAAAGGTAACATTTCCCATGTTATTACATGTTACTTAGCATTCCAGACCATCTTCCTTTTTTGCATTCTGGTGAAACCGGGATTTGCCTCCCTCTAGTGCCGCATTCCTAGAACTGTGCGCCCTGATGAGAAAGGCAGCGCGCCGCCTAGTGGCTGCAAGTCCCCTTCTTTGGATTACTTCGGGGTTCTGAAGCGGGGGGAGCAGGAGCTTGTTTGAGGCTTGCCCCCCCCCCCGATAGTTTGATAAACTAGATAAATGGAATACTGAGCCCCCCCATCAGTCGTGTTCACTATCCAATTCGACTTGGTTATTTTACAGCTATGAAGTAGAGAAGGGAGGATTGGGACAGAATTGCCTTAGGATGATGTCTGTAAATGGGCATTTCTTAAGTCTGAGTAATGCTGTGCAATACTTCTTCATTTTTTATGAAGGAGAACATGCTAGAAGGAAATCTTAGTGACAATCGGGCATTGGCTGTGGGTGGGATTCGGGAGACCTGGATTCTTTTGGCCCTGCCCCTTACTTTAAAATCACTGAGCAGATGACTTCCTCTCACTCAGCCTCATTTTGTCTATAAATCCAATCTGTAAAATGGGGGGAGACTTTGTATTAGATCATTGTTAAGGTTTTTTTTTTTTCCTAACTCAAATTTTCTATAATTTTGAGAGTTAAAATTAACTTTGAATACTTATTGCTGCTTTTGTTCCAAGATAACTAAGGGAAAGAGAGCAGATATAAGATCTATAACATGGATGAACCAGGGCCCTCCTCACCAAGAAAGGACTGGCTGTTGGGTTCTATTTATGTATATCTAGTGGACTTTGGATTCATTTTATCATTTATAAACTGTTGACCAGCTATTTTTTTCCCCTCTTTCTTAGGACTCAACTGGATAGTGACATTCAAACAGGAAAGGAGCATGTATTGTATATATTGTATGATTAAACATTTTTAAAGACATTGTTTTTAGTAAAATGTAGCTTTTGATAGCTAATGAATTTGTCATGGTTGTCTTTGATTAAAGGAAATTCACTGCCATATTCACAAATATTTGTAGTTACTCTTTATTTTCTGATCATGCCAGAGTTGGGTCTTTCTCCAGTCCTGTCCCCCCAAAAACGCTTTAGTTAGGGTGTTAATGGTCTACAGATCATTATGGTTCTTTTTATATCTCTTTAGCTAAATGTAAAGTTAGCCGGTCAAATCAACAAATACTGGATCGAACTGTATGAAATTGTTTTTTTTGTAGGTAAAACACGGTCAAATATCAGCCATGTTCTATGATTCAGCGTGTGATTTACACACAAGAAACTTTTCATCCTCCACCAGGCCAGGCTGGACGACTGTCCGCACAGCGCCCACCAGCGGTCCCTTGTGTGCACACAGAGGACAAACAGACGGCCTCCAGGCTGCAGGAGTGCGACTCCCGAGCCTCTGATCTTGGCTGGGCCTTCAGGCCTGTCCTTGATGTTTTCTAGGAACCCTTGTTGGTTCCCTTTCCGGTTCCACAGCTTTCTACATCCGCCCTCTCTCCTCCCTCCGGTCTGGTGTCCGCGTAGGGTGTTGCTTCTCTGGCAGGCTCTGGGTCCCAGCCCTTCCTGGTCCTCAGGCATGTTAGCCTCTCCTAATACTGAGCACACTTTCCCTTCAGCCGTGCTTGCTTATCTCTCACCTTAATTAAAACCACTCTCGGGACCCTCAGTTACTGTCCTGTTTCCTCTTCAAACAAGGATCTCTTCCACTCTCCCCTCCTGGCTGTCCCGGATCTGCACGGAGGGCACCTCCTTTCCCTGCATCCGCCAGGGGGCTGTTTTAGACCAAACTGGTGATTCCTTCCCAAATAGATCCCAGGGTTAAACGCACATTTGGCACTTAAAATTCTGGTGCTTTCCCTGCTTCCCCGTCCCCATTTGGTCTCATGAATTAAGAGTAATTTTCAGCTCTGAAAAGCTCTAGCTGTATGTGCAATGGCTTACTGGCAGCATAGGGGCCGTTTTAAACATATATGTAAACTAGCACCTAAATCTGTCTTCCCTATACTGGTCCTTCTACTACTTTGTTTCCTCAAAAGAAACCCAGGGTTTCTCTTCTCTTTTCCCTCTACCTCAATCAGTCACGCTTCCCCATCTGGTGTCCTGATTGTGTCCATCCTGCCCAGGTTTCCGCCACAGAAGCCTCCGTCTGCTGGCCCCCGCTTCCTGTCCGCCCTTCACATCTCCTGCACATCTTCAGAACCGCTTGTCAGCCTCTGTGACTTCCTGCTGCCTCTGACACTTGAAAAACCTGAGCTCTCAGAGCTGTCCAAGGCCTCACATGATCAGGCTCCTTGCCTACACCCCGGCTCACCTCCTGCTCCAGACTCCAGCTCTCTCTTCCATTTCTGTTGAACGGCTTTGCAGAGGTTTACTTCATACTCTGTGCTATTCACTCATTCGTGGTAAACATTCATCAGTCTCTTCACAGGGCTCTGTAACCATCACCACGGTCTGATATAGAACACTCTTGTCCCCAACCCCATACCCGGTGGCCATCACCCTTCCTCAGCCACCTCCTCACCCCGAGGTTATCACCAACCGATAACCTATTTTCCATCAAAATTTGCCTATTCTGGGCACTTCACATAAATGGAATCACATATGTGGTCCTAACATGACAGTTTTTCAAGCACACATGCTAGAGTTGCCTTCCTCCTTCCCTCTTGTTGGCCTGCCTTCTACTTGCTTCAAACTCTCCTCATGTAAGAAACATAAACGTGGTTACTTTTGATAAACCAAAGTGGCCATGCTGTCACTTTGAACCTTCCTGTAATTATTGGAGTTTTCTAACTGCACTTTTTCATTATTTTTAAAAAGTATCAATGGAATTTATCTGGACAGGGAGATTATGGGCCACTTTTTTCTTCTTTAAACTCCTGAAGAGGAGGGGCACCTGGTTATCTCGGTCGGGAGACCATGTGACTCTCGATCTCGGGGTCATGAGTTCAAACCCCATGTTGGATATGGAGCCTACTTAAAAAAAACCTGTAATCTGAATGGGGAAATACATGTTATCATTTAAATATACATGGTATATTTAAATATCTTAACACGTGTAACATGCTAATCCATATTCTTATTTAAATATCTAACACCTGTAACATTCCCAAAAGTCTTTTCTTTTCCTCCAGAGCTTTGTGTTCTAATAGCACCTCGTTTGTTCCTCAGTCCCCTGTCTGTGCTTGTCCCGTTGTTGTATGCGCTTATGGGGGCTCCCCGGGGCCCGGCTGTGCCTTATTTCTGGGCTAACGGCGGCGCAGGCAGAAGGTGGCACCAATGTTGGGTCAGGGCCTTGCGGTCCTAACTGCCCTGCCCCCCAAGGACTATACACGCACCAGGGTGCATATTCTTGGGTTCCCGTTGCGCATAAGCTGTCCTGCTCAGTAGTCCGCGTTCTCCATACAGTGCTTCCTAACACAGAACTGGGCGTGCGCTGCTCTGACTTCTGTTCTCTCCGCAGAGATTGTAAGCCCGTTAGGCTAAATCCTAGAGTCTTGGTTGGGTCTCTTGCAGGACTGGGGCTTAGGCTTAGGTTTCCGACATCCCACAAAATTTTAGGTGCATTGGAGGGGCGCCTGGGTGGCTTAGTCGGTTGAGCGTCCGACTTTCGCTTAGGTCATGATCTCGCGGTTCATGGGTTCGAGCCCCGCGTCGGGCTCTGTGCTGACTGCCAGCTCAGAGCCTGGAGCCCATTTCAGAGTCTGTGACTCCCTCTCTCTCTGACCCTCCCCTGCTCACGCTGTCTCTCTCTCTCTCTCCTAGAAATAAAATAAAAATATTAAAAAAAAAAAAAAATTTTAGGTGCATTGGAGAATACAAGCCAGCGTGTCGTCTGCGTAATAGCTACGGCAGGCTTTTTAACCCTCCGTCTCCAGTGACTTCTGCAGAGAGAGACCAGGTCTCTCTAGTCTGGATCAGCTCAGGAGCCGTGCAGTTATAGGCGTCTCTGTATAAGATTACTTATTTCGTTTTTATAAGGAGCCTTAACATAAAAGATAATGGGAAGAACAGTGGAGAACAGATGTGTGTGATGGACTTTTCAGAGCCTTGAGTGGCAGACTAAAAGATGTTTGCAAATTCCTTAGAGAGGAAGAGTCTGTTTCTTCTCCCCTTGAATCTGGGCTGGTCTTGGTGACTTGTCTGAGCAACAGCATACGGCAGAAGTGATGTTCTGGGGCTTTGGAGGCTAGGTTAAAAGAAACCTTGTGGTGTCTGATAAGTCACTGGAGCTGAGTCACCGTGGAGTAAGGCCAGCTATCCTGTGGCCAGAAACTATATGGGAGAAGGGCGACCTGGACCGAGACCAACAAGCCCAGCCTTTTAGCTGTCCCCAAGGGTGTGCGGTCTGTGCCCTCCAGACTAGTCCAGCTGTCACCTGAATATCCCCAAGCTGCTCTAATGGTGACATGTAGGACAGATCGCCCTGCCAGGCTCTGCCTGAATTCCTGATACAGAATTAGGAGCTATAATAAGATGGTGGGGTTTTAAGTCACAAATTTTGGGGACACTTCTGCAGACAGCTGAAATGCTTGGTCTAACTACCCTCCCTCACCCCCCGCAAGTTTGATGCACGTAGAAACAAAGTTCAGGGGTATGGGATTTTATCGCACTAACAACTATGAAAGTGTGCTAGCCTGAAAAAGAAATACAATGATCCAGAAAATAACTTAAACTTTACTTTTCTCTAGCTGACTTCTCAAAAATGGTGGCATACTTAAGAGCTCTCTTTGGAGCGGCTTTTTGACGTCCTCCTCCTTTTTGGACTTTTCCATGAGGATGGTCACTTCTAAGAGCGTTTCCTGGTAAGGCTGGGCGATCGGATAGGCTGTGACCCGCTCGAATTCTTTCATTTCTTCCTTGTGCACCCGAGGCCTGGGGAGGGGGGGAGCCGGGCCAGAGAGCCCTTGACCTCGGCTCTTACTTCTCTGCTCCGAGAGCTCTCTTCCCCGGGTCATTCGGTCTTGATGCTCCTTGATCTGTTCCTTGGCCCAGGCCACCCTGTGTTTTTTGGTCTTCGTTTTGTGTGTTTTCTGTAGAGCGTCCATCTTTTCATCCTTCCCTGGGGTTAATATTTTGGGGAAGACCGTTACGCTGGGAGTCTTTTGAGGGAGGAGCTGATAGTTGCTGTCTCTGAGGCCTCTGGCCTGTTCGGCTCGGTATATGTGCCTCTCTATCTGGCCCAGCTCCCTCTCAGGCACTAAATAGTCCCATTTTTTAGTATCTCCTGGTTTTTCACTATGTGGTCTCTCTCTCTGTATTTTCATTTTCCACCTTGGAACCATTCTGCATTTCCAGCATCTTTCTCCCAGCATCATTTCTTGGTGTCGTCGATAGTAATATGCCTCTGCTTTGGCAAACCGGAAGTCAAAAGACATAGCTTTTTGTTGACGAAGAGTTTCGTTCTCCTGTTGAGCCTTTTGGAGCAGCAGTGTCCTCACTTTGGAAGAATGGATGCCACCTAGACTCTTGTCAGAGGGAAGCGTTAGAAGTTTCTTAAGTCGGATGCCCTTGGTTACCGGCCATGACACAGTGCACAGGGGGCTAGTAGCTCTGCCTGGCACTCTGACACCGTGTCCCCGTTGGGGTCTCCTAGCTGTGTTCCCTGGCTTTCTCTCCAAACCTCCCACACATCCCTCAAGCAGGGTTGCCTCCTGGTTGAAGATTTTGCCTTAGATGTCCTTGAGAAAACAGAAGCAGGCGGTCAGAAACCCTCTTCAATTCCCCCACAACTACCACGTGTCCATCCCGGATTCTGCTTTTATAATGGAAACGTTGCCCCCGTGTCTCTCAAAAGCCAAGTCTTTCACGTGCCCTTGTGAAGCTTCAAGAACTTCAGTTTGCAATTACCAAACTCCCTTTCCAGCTTCATCCAAATTTCCCCTTTACGGGATCACTCTGTCCACATAAAAATATGTTCCAGTATTTGTATCATCTTTCAACAGAAAGGGGAGGCTCTTCCTTTACTACATGTCCCCCTTGGCTTCGCTTCGTAGTGTGCCATGAAGCAGAAACTTATCACCCCTCCCCACTGCCCCAAACCCATAGTTTGCCCTTGACCCTTCTCACTTGGGCTTCCATCTCCCCACTCCACCTAGACTGCTCTTGTCTAGGTCATGAGGGATCTCCACAGTGACAAATTCAGGGGTCCCATCTCTGTCCTGGTCATATGTGACTTCAGTACCATTTTAGAGTTGACTGCTCTTTCCTCCGTGAAATACTTTACTTTCCTCTGGCTTCCAGGCGGTGGCCAAGGGCATGTGACCAAGGCTATCCCTAGACCCCTTAGAGTATTCCAGCCATTAGCTGAATATCCCCAGGTGACTGAATAGCCCTTAATTCTCTTCTTACCTCCTGGCCGCGCCCTCCACTGCTTTGCTGGTTCTGTCTTTTAAATGTAGTGTAAGAAAATACAACAGAAATTATCACTTAAGATGAGCATAGTCTCATCTGGGCTTTCTTGGACGTGGACAGTCTCAATCACTCAACAAGGTGACCTGCCACAGGCCAGGGACTGCTCCATGCTGGCCAGTCGCCCATGACATGGCCCAGCACTCGCCTCTCAACTTCAGACCTGGATACTGTCTACTTAACACCTCCACTTGGCTCTAACTCCAAAGTGCTTCCTTCATTTCCCCCCTTCCCCGTCCTGTCCCCACTGGCTTCAAGATGCCCCCACCCTCGGGTATCAGCCTGACGAGAGTTCCTGAATCCCCCAGCCCCACCAGATCACTCACACAGCAACCGGATTGATCTTTGTGTCACACAAATCTGAGCACGCCACTGTCCTGCACAGAAACCTGGGATAGCGTCCTATCGATTTTAGGAGAAAGTCCTATTCATAATCTGGCTCCTGCCTGCCTCTTAGCTCGACTGCCTGCTCGCTTGCTCGTTACAGCCGCCTTGGCTTCTGTTCCTCAAGGCATATTCTCTTTGCTATCTGAGTATTTTCATATATTCTCATAATCTCCCGAACACACAACACAGCTGCTCTGACCACGGTACTTACGTACATATATCACTTTTAGGTTTTAGCTTAAATGTCACTTCCTCAACCCTGCACATATTCCTCCAGATAAAACCCTGTCTTTCATGACCCTTATCACAATTTGTGTCTAACTCTCTGTTTAATGTCCATGTCCCTCACTCGCTGAGGCCCCTGGAGGGCACAAGCGACCTTTGTTTGGTTCACTGTGTCCAGCCAGCACTGCGGGTGCTGAATAGAACCTAACAAAGCACTCTTGCTTGAAACAGATCCTTTCTACCTTGGAGAGAAACTTTTTATGATGGTATTACCGACTCCAAAGTTCATGGTAAACGTATTTCCTCACCTTAATCTTCTTTTCTAGTGGGGACTGGGAACCCACTGCAATCCGAGGGTCCTGAGTGTTTTTGGCCCAGGCCAATCTGGAAGATTAAAAAGAGAAATCGCACTAGGATTTGGAGAAAGGCTTCAGGAAACACGGCCCAGGTGTGAACTGAGGCAGGGAGGTGATTTGGGACTCAATTTTCACATGTAGCACGAGTTGTTTCTCTGTGCCGATAGGCAGGACTGTGGCTAACTTTTGTCTTTCCTTGAAGCAAGGTAGGAATGCTCTCTGATAAAAGTATGAACAAAGACCCATACTGAGTCTGAGGTTGAGACCAACAGAAATACCTTTATAACTAAAGATGGGAGGCCGAGTTGCGATTTCAAATTCCACAAACTGCTGTTGGTATAATTGTTGGCAGGACAAAGAACTTAACTTTGATCAGAAAATAAGTTTTCAAAGCTTTAAGTCCCTTTTCAGTTATGCATAAAACTATAAATGGTATAATTTATAAGCTGTCATTAATTTCCAACAGCTGCTGGCTGAAACATGGTTCAGGATTCTTGTCAAAGGGTTTTATTTTAGGTAGATAATACAACAGTTTGATGGTAAGAAAGTTTGTTTTTAAATTTAATTACAGAAAAATTAACAGCCGAGACAGGGCGCCTTAAGGGTTGGTTGAGTGTCCAACTCTTGATTTCGGCTCAGGTCATGATTTCCCGGTTTGTGGGTTCAAGCCCTGCATCAGGCTCTGCACTGACAGTGCAGGGCCTACTTGGGGTTTCTCTCTCTCTTCCCCTCTCTGCCGCTCCCCCATTAGCTTTCTCTCACTCAAAAATAAGTAAACGTTAAACAAAATTGAAGAAAAATACAGTTGAGAAATTTGCATAGTGACATCAGCTTATTCTGGAGAATTCATTTCCTTTTTTTTTTTTTAAATGTTTATTTTTGAGAAAGACAGAAAGACAGGAGGCAGGGGAGGGGCAGAGAGAGAAGGAGACACAGAATTCGAAACAGGCTCCAAGCTCTGAGCTGTCAGCACAGAGCCGGATGGGGGCTTGAACTTAGGAACTGTGAGATCATGACCTGAGCCAAAGTTGGACACTTCACCGACTGAGCCACCCAGGTGCTCTGAGAACTCTTACTTCCTACCCTGCTTAGTTCATGAATAGGTTGTAAATATTCTGTTTCTCTGATTTCTCTTTGTAGCAAAAGAGAAGGATTTTATAACATTGACCGGTAAAAAATAAAACTGTAATTACTGTGCAAGTAAAGTTAACTTCTTAACGAGAAGTTTGCCTATTTCTGCCTTCGTGTTTTTCTTTCCTAAGAGGTTCTCACATATTAGGTGCAAAGCAGCCTTTACTGAGCTTACTGTACATAGGGATGTCCTGGGACCTTAAATGGGTCTTTTTACTTTGCCTCCCAAACGGTATGTGTGGGAGGCACTCATCACATCTCACCCCAAAGACCACTGAGGCCGAGGGGGGTCCAGTGACTCGTCCCAGGTCCCAGGTCAGTTTCAGAGGCAGGAAGCAGGGCTGCACAACTCCGAGCGCAGCACTTTCGTTCCTGCGTCACACCATTCCCAGCTCAGTGCTCCAAGTGGAAGGAAGGAATACCTACTGTTCTTCTGCGCTCAGGTCCAACCATTCTGAGTCTGTCACCAGAGGAGGGCCTGAGGGTGCCGTCTGCGCTGACACTTGGTCCTCCCTTACGTTCCCCGGGGACCCTCCTCGCCTGGCGCCTGTGGTCCCCACTCCAGAAGCCTCGTGCTGTTTATCTCCCGTGTCCTTTCTTCTCGCCAGAGCCCGATCTAGCGCCAGCTTTACAAACAACATGCTTGCCCTTCACGCCCTTCCTCCCAGCGGCTGCTTTTCCCAGCGCTGGTCTCCAACCTCTCATTCTCCAGTCTGCGAAGTACTGATTTCCAGCTCTTCCAGCCCCCTTACTGTTGATCCTTCAGGATGCCGGGGGTGGATTTCTAGGGCAACCAGAGGCGGTCACAGGCTTTTGTGTGTGTCATCACCAGCCTAGATTGAGGCTACTGTGAGGTGGTAGGTGGAGGCATCAGCTGGCCGGCAGGGAATGAGCTGCAGTGTGAGCTGGGCCGAACGGCCGCAAAGGGGAAGGGGCCGTGGGTTTCAGAGACACGGGCGGCCTTCTCGCCGCTGGAGGAAGCACCTTCTAAGACCACGGGAGCATCTTTGTCATTTTTGTTCGGTTGGTGTTTCGGCGGGATAGTGTATACTGGGTATCCTCCCTGGAAGTGGAGTCTGCGGAGAGCCGGGGGCGGACACTCCTCGCACACGGTGAGCGGCAGGGGCTGGAGTGAGCGGGAGGCCTGGTCACGTGGTCTCACCATCCCTTAGCAGGTGTGTCACTCGCCTAAACGCTGCTGCTGCTGTGGAGGTTGTGAGTTCTCGTACCCTTTTTTTTTTTTTAAGAGAGAGGGTGCACCCATGGGGGGTACGGGCGGGGGGGGGGGAGAAAGAGAGAGAGAGAGAGAGAGAGAGAGGATCTTAAGCATGCTCCACGCCCAGCATGGATCCCAATGCCGGGGGGGGGGGGGGGGGGGGGGGGGCGGTGTCGATCCCACAACCCTGGGATCATGACCTGGGCCAAAATCCAGAGTCAGACGCTCAACCAACATTGAGCCAGACATTGAACCAACACTCAACTGACTGAGCCACCCATGCGCCCCAGGCACTACTACTCTTTAATCTACTTGTAGTCAGGAGATACACAAATGTTAAAATAAAAATCAATGATTCTGCATATTCACTTCAAGATACTCTTCACCATATATTTAAGCTGCAGATGTCCAAATAAAGTCCCCATTTTTTATGCTTTTACCATTGAGATGTCTCTACTTAAAATGTGAAAGGAGAAAATACAGTGATTAATTACAGCCTGGCTTCTGACTTATTAAGAATAAAATCTATCCCTCCCCCAATGTGCTCTTTATAGAGATGTGCTTGAAACTGCAGCCCTGAACTCATTCAGAAATGAAATGGTTATGGGGCGTCTGGGTGGCTTAGTCAGTTATTCTTCCGACTTAGGCTCAGGTCACGATCTCACGGTTTGTAGGGTCTGAGCCCCTCATCAAGCTCTGTGCTAACAGCTCTGAGCCTGGAGCCTGCTTTGGATTCTGTGTCTCTGTTTCTCTGCCCCAACCCTGCTTGCACTTTGTCTCTCCCTCTCTCAAAAATAAATAAACATTAACATTTTTTTTTTACAAATACTTTATTGTCAAATTAGTTTCCACATAACACCCAGTGCTCATCCCCACAAGTGCCCTCCTCCATGCCCATCCCCCCTCCCCCCCACATCCATCAGTCCTCAGTTTTTGTCAGCATTCAAGAGTCTCTCATGGTTTGCCTCTCTCCCTTTCCCCCACCATTTTCCCCCTTCTTCTCCCGATTGGTCCTCTGTTAAGTTCCTCCTAGTCCTCCTATACGTGCACACATATGATATTTGTCCTTCTCTGCCTGACTTATTTCGCTCAGCATAACACCCTCAAGGTCCATCCATGTAGCTACACATGGCCAGATTTCATTGTTTCTCATTGCCATGTAGTATTCCATGGTATAGATAAACCACATCTTCTTGATCCATTCATCTGTTGATGGACACTTAGGCTCTTTCCATGTTTTAGCTATTGTGGAGAGTGCTGCTATGAACATTGGGGTACATGTGCTCCTATGCCTCAACATTTCTGTATCCCTTGGGTAAATTCCTAGCAGTGCTATTGCTGGGTCATAGGGGAGTTCTATTGTTAGTTTCCTGAGGAACCTCCACACTGTTTCAGAGGGGCTGTACCAGTTTACATTCCCACCAACAGTGTAGGAGGGTGCCCGTTTCTCCACATCCTCGCCAGCATCTAGAGTTCTCTGATTTGCTCATTTTAGCCACTCTGACTGGCGTGAGGTGGTATCTCAGTGTGGTTTTGATTTGTATTTCCCTGATGAGGAGCGATGCTGAGCATCGTTTCATGTGTCTGTTGGCCATCTGGATGTCCTCTTTGGAGAAGTGTCTGTTCATATCTTCTGCCCATTTCTTCACTGGGTTGTTTGTTTTTCGGGCGTGTAGTTTGGTGAGTTCCTTATAGATTCTGGATATTAACCCTTTATCTGATATGTCATTTGCAACTATCTTTTCCCATTCCGTTGGTTGCCTATTAATTTTCTGGGTTGTTTCCTTGGCTGTGCAGAAGCTTTTAATCTTGATGAGGTCCCAACAATTTATTTTTGCTCTTGATTCCCTTGCTTTTGGGGATGTGTCAAGTAAGAAGTTGCTGCGGTGGAGGTCAAGGAGGTTGTTTCCTGCTTTCTCCTCTAGGGTGTTGATAGTTTCCTGTCTCACGTTCAGGTCCTTTATCCCTTTTGAGTTTATTTTTGTGCATGGTGTGAGAAAATGATCTAGTTTCATTCTTCTGCATGTTGCTATCCAGTTCTCCCAACACCATCTGTTAAAAAGGCTGTCTTTTTTCCATTGGATATTCTTTCCTGCTTTGTCAAAGATCAGTTGGCTGTATACTTTTGGGTCCACTTCTGAGTTCTCAATTCTGTTCCATTGGTCTATGTGTCTGTTTTTGTGCCAATACCATACTGTCTTGATGATGACAGCTTTGTAGTAGAGGCTAAAGTCTGGGATGGTGATCCCTCCCGTTTTGGTTTTATTTTTCAGGATTACTTTGGCTATTCCAGGTCTTTTGTGGTTCCATACAAATTTTTGGATAGTTTGTTCTAGTTTTGAGAAGTATGCTGGTGCAATTTTGATGGGAATTGCATTGAATGTGTAGAGTGCTTTAGGTAGTAATGACATCTTAACTATATTCTTCCTATCCATGAGTATGGAATGTTTTTCCATTTCTTTGTGACTTCTTCAATTTCCTTCATAAGTTTTCTATAGTTTTCATCATACAGATCTCTTGTATCCTTGGTTAGGTTTATTCCGAGGTATTTTATGGTTTTTTGTGCAATTGTGAATGGGATCAGTTTCTTGATTTCTCTTTCTGTTGCTTCATCGTTGGTGTATAAAAATGCAACCGATTTCTGTACGTTGATTTTGTACCCTGCAACTTGGCTGAATTCTTGGATCAGTTCTAGTAGGCTTCTGGTGGAGTCTGTCGGGTTTTCGATGTAGAGTATCATGTCATCTGCGAAGAGTGAAAGTTTGACTTCCTCTTTGCCAATTCTGATGCCTTTGATTTCCTTTTGTTGTCTGATGGCTGATGCTAGGACTTCCAGCACTATGTTAAACAACAGTGGTGAGAGTGGGCATCCCTGTCGTGTTCCTGATCTCAGGGGGAAAGCTCTCAGTTTTTCCCCGTTGAGGATGATGTTAGCTGAAGGCTTCTCATAGATGGCTTTGATGATGTTTAAGTAGGTTCCTTCTATCCCAACTTTCTCGAGAGTCTTTATTAAGAAGGGATGCTGTATTTTGTCAAATGCTTTTTCTGCATCTATTGACAGGATCATATGGTTTTTATCTTTTCTTTTATTGATGTGATGTATCACATTGATTGATTTGCGAATGTTGAACCAGCCCTGTAACCCAGGAATGAATCCCACTTGATCTTGGTGGATGATTCTTTTGATATGCTGCTGGATTCGATTTGCAAGGATCTTGTTGAGGATTTTTGCATCCGTATTCATCAAGGATGTTGGCCTGTAGTTCTCTTTTTTTGCTGGATCTCTGTCTGGCTTGGGAATCAGAGTGATGCTGGCTTCATAAAATGAGTCTGGGAGTTTTCCTTCGATTTCTATTTTTTGGAATAGCTTGAGAAGAATTGGGATTAATTCTGTTTTAAATGTCTGGTAGAATTCCCCAGGGAAGCCTAAAATTTTTTTTTAAAGAAATAAAACACTTAGGAAAGTGAATGCAGGTATTTAATGCTTAAAAAATAAAAGAATTTCCAACAGCAAGTCATGACTGTAATTTCTCTTTTCATGCCAAAACCCTGGATTAAATGTCAATCAGCATTTTAATATTCAAAAGATATCATCTTAACACTGATAAAATGTCATGCATGTCACTCCGATGTCAAACTCATGTGATATTAATTCAGCCAAAATTTGTACATGCCTGTGCCTGACAGCCTTGACTCCTCCACAAGTTCCTCGTATTCACTGTGAGCCCCACTCTGTGGGAAGTGCTAAAAGGTAATACCTTATTTACCCTTTTGCGAAAACCGAATATAGCCTCCTTTCTGAAAAAGAAAAATATGTAATTCCTAATATAAGTCTCTTGTTAACTACAGAATCCACTTAATTAAAATAAAACATATAAAAGCAAACATGTGGACCTAAAAGTACTCTTCATTTAAGTATTATGTTGTGAATTGTTTCTCTTTCCTGATAAGAGAAATGGGGTGAAGACTACAAAGCAGGGAGATAAAGAACCTTTTTGAAACAGCAAATCAGGTTGGAACAAACTATCAGCACCACTAGCCTTGGCCCTGACATAGACAAAAGGTAGCCTGAGTTGTGGCTTTTCTGTGAGAAATACAAAAAGGAAAGGACTAACGAGTATTTTATCATATGCCTAAATTTTAATCTTTTGTCAATAATCATGAAATGTGTTTGAATAGTTAATGAGAAGTCCTCGCTGGGGTGACAGTGGTTCCTGACCTGAAATTACTGTTAACCACTTCTCATGACCCTGAACTTGAAACAAACTTCACCACAGACTGACTTCTGGCATCGGAAACCGCACCCCGCCCACTGACTTCATCTTTCAGGAATTTCAAAAGAGACTCAAATAAAAAATAAAAGTGCCCCTTCTAGTACCTACACATAACACTGATACTCCAACCACCCTATTCCGTAATGTTATTATTCTGCCCAAGTTCAGTATGAGGAAATGTGATGTGTTTGAGGCCACACAGTTGCCCAGAGGGGGACTGAAACTTGAACATGGATGTGTACAAGCAAAGCTCCACCTACTCCATCTGACCTTGGAAAATGGAAGGAGTGGTAAATGAGGCCCTCACCTTTGTGAAGCTCACGACCCAATGAGGGAGGCAAGAAATGTACACAGGTGCATACCTATGGTGTAGCGGTACAAATGGGATGCATTCGTGCGGAGCAAAAACACAGAGCAGGAGGCATTAATGTGAAGTGAGACTGCATACAGGTCATCTGGAAGGGAGCATGGCAGAAATGTGGGGGACACTCCTGAGACCAACCTATCAAGAGTGACTCTGTCAGCAGATGTTAGAGGAAGTTGCACGGGCAGGCCACACTGGAGCCGGAGTATGGCGTAGAGGAATTACAATGACTTCCCCAAACAGAGAACTATGAAATATGGTTAAGAAGAAGATGATTAAGGGGCGCCTGGGTGGCTTAGTCGGTTAAGCGTCCGACTTTCTCTTAGGTCATGATCTCACGGTTCGTGGGTTCGAGCCCCGCATCGGGCTCTGTGC